AAAAAGCCCTTCACTTCTGACTTGAAGGCTCTCTATATATGTTCAATCGGTGGTAAGGTGCCAATCTGCAAAATATAACATCTTGAAATTCTTCCTCGATGCATATCTCTTCTATTCTTGAATGTGCAGGTGTATTATCCAGAACTACCACTATCTGCAGGATTTCCATTTCAAACGCACTCTCTCAAACACCGTTCCATCCACTGTGAACAATATTCTCTTTTGCAATTGAAATCATTTCAAACATATATAAGGATTCATCTTCTGAAATTGAGCCTACCAATTCTGAAATACAACTTACCATTTCTGAAATTGAATGGACTTTTTCTGAAATTCATCTCACCGATTCTGAAATCGAGTTCACCATTTCTGAAATCGAACTAACCAATTCCGAAATCGAGATTACTTTTTCCGAAATATAACTCACCGATTCCGAAATTGAAGTTGAAAAGGTATATTCTTGAATGTGCAGGTGCATTATCCAGAACTACCACTATGGTATCTGCAGGATGCCCATTTCAAACGCACACTCTCAAACACCGTTCCATCCACTGTAAACAATCATCTCTTTTGCAATTGAAAACATTTCAAACATATATAGGGATTCATCTTCTGAAATTGAACCTACCAATTCTGAAATACAACTTACCATTTCTGAAATTGAATGGACTTTTTCTGAAATTCATCTCACCGATTCTGAAATTGAGTTCACCATTTCTGAAATCGAACTAACCAATTCTGAAATCGAGATTACTTTTTCCGAAATATAACTCACCGATTCCGAAATTGAAGTTGAAAAGGTATAGAGCAGTTCTTACTGAATCAGGCCTCATCGGAATATGTTCTCCAGTGTTCGGTATGTGGGTTTGCATCCCCAACATGATGATTTCAGAAATTGTCTCAGGACATCGTGTTGGATCTGCTGAGGAGAAACAAACTCTCTTCCATGGAAACGCTGAGAAAAACATACGAAGACCGTCCAAGTCGGCCGAATTGTGATGCCACACGAGACAGGTACGAATTGTGGTGTTGGATGGTACATGGAAAGAGCAGGTTGTGGAGATGAGGGTATGGTCGCAGTTTCCAAGTGGGGAACAAACTTTCATTCTATATGGATCATGATTGCTTGTGAGAAAAAGATCTAGAGTATTGGCAGACTGGTTGTTGACATCTGGAATGCGGGTTGGTAGTTCGACTAGTTGTTCTAGACCATGAATGATGGTGAAGGCGTCAGTTTGACGACCTGCATCATCTGTTTTGTAAGAGGATTTGAGCCAGGCTGCGTTGTGTACATTGAAGTCTCCCATGATTATGATCACAGCTGTTGGATGGTTCTTCTGAATGAAGTCCAGTTTGAGTGAAAAAAACTCAAAGAAGTTGTTATATTCATTATCATTAGGCGATAGGTGATGGTAGCTGATAAATTTGGTCAGTTTGGTATTGACTAGCTTCAACCACATCACATCAAAGTCTTTCGATTCCAAAAGCTCTACACGCTGGCATTAAAGGTTAGCCTTAACCTAGAGGCAGACTCCACCTTTGAACCTGAATCGAGAGTGAAATTCGTAACCAGAACAGAGCATGTGGACCTTATTGGTGGACGAGTTCACTTGAGTCTCTGTTAGTGCCAGAATATCTGGTTTTTCCGTTTGTAGAATATGGTGGACATCATTGATGTTTTTGCGGATGTTGCAATAATTAATCTTTAGAGATCAGTCCCCTCGAGTACCTCTCGCCCGGAAATCCGGATGGAGAGGTATTTTATTTCCGGAGTGTTCTACTCTCGAAGACTTCATCATCTTCATTCATATAGAGGATAAATTGGGGAAATGGGTGGGGGAGATCGGAAAGTATCGACCGAACACTGAACCATGGAGTGATCCATTTCACAGCACACAAAGTCGATTCGGTGGTATTTCACCGGGCGATGAGACCATCTACCACCTAGAGTTATCTTTTCAGTCGCCTTTTACCACAGACAGGATTTACCATGGGGGGTCAGGCTAAGCTACTCCCATTCTCCACGAAGTCATTTTGTATCAGTTTGAGTTTTGTGATTTCCATTTCGGAAGTGATTAGTCTCAATTTGAATCTGTTTATTTTCAATTTGAGTGTGTTAAATCCGAGCTCAATCATTTCGTCCCAATTTGAAAAGATGTTTTACCGTTTCGATAATGATAAGTCCCAATTTGAAGTTGGAATGGTATAGAGTCCCAGTCCACTCTAGTCGTAACACTCGGCCATCCTGTCACTTCGAAATCCTCATCATATCATTCGCCGATACATCTCCAAAGAGTAAATGGTGACAATCGCCCCAAACCGATTAAAGCATCCCATACTCTCGATCGACTCAATTCGACAGCGATCATTCGCCATGACGTTGCTTAATCTTTAGGGCCTATCAAATGTATTAGTCATTTCATTAGTGAGACAAATGCTCGTCTTTTCAGTAGCTACGCTTCGCCAGAGCACTGATTCACTCATCTTGTTTATAGTTGTAACTTTCAAACAAATCGCCCTTTCGCCTTTTGTGTAGATGTACGAATATTCCTATCAGCTTCGAAACGATCAGCGTGAATTCTACTGGATGCCAGAACAATCAAACTTGGTTCAGACTGTCTAGCCGTTCTGAACTCCACAGAACGAAACTGCTCACTCTATCCAGCCGTTTGAGAACCCTTACCGCTCGTACTCACCCGTTCATATGCCTTGCGCCTTCAACGTCGTTCACCCTATATAACACCAGATGTGCAACTGTATTTCACTCCTGTGAAAACACCTCCATTTCCATCCGCAGCACCGGTACCACTTTTGTCTGTCAACGCTTACACAACATCACTATATCTATAGCATTTATTCAGTTAGGTATCTTTCTTTTTCTCGTGGAAATGGTCATTCATTTTGCAGAAAACGCGCCGTTCTATCTCTTTCATAGTTAGACCTCGAAGCCATAAGATCGAGTAACAACTATTCACAATATAACGAGAGAAGGTGATTATTTGCGTTGTTTTTCTACATGTCGGACTTTTCACAGCTTATTTGCTAGGAGGCATGTTATGAATTTTTTCTACAAGCGTGCGTGATTCACCCTATACCCGCACGCAATTTAGTTTGGAAAGTGTCATTTTCCCGCAACACTGCGGAAAAATTTTCCCACACTAGTGCGGGAAAACAAAGATATGATAAAATCGCTAGTAATATAAGTGGTTGGTGATGGAATATAAAAGTTTAAGTTTGTTTGTTGCAGTATTAAGTATGTATGTTCAGAATCATCCATCAAATTGCACAATTTATTGTAAAAATTAAGAAATATTGAGAAATAAAATAGTAATTTTCCTAACAAGTGCGGAAAGTGATTCTTTCCCGCACGTGACTGCCGTTGACACGAACGACGCGAAGCGGAGTTCGGGCAAGCAGTCGAGTGCGGGAAAGACACTTTCCGCATGAGTTAGGAACAATATTTTTTCTACAAGCGTAGGAAATTGATTGATCAATTAATTATTCAAGCAAATAGCAATAGCAAAATTCAAGCAAATAGGAACAACTAACAAGAGATATATATTCTCTATCTATTAATTATTAGTAATAGCTATTGTGAACTTACAGTTTGACGCATTATGTTGGTTCATTGCGGAAGCCAGCAGGCCCATTAGGAGTTTGGTCTCTAGGTTCCAGACACTTCTATGGAATGAGCCAAAAATACCTATTCTTCATTCGGTTTTTTCATTTCTTTATTGTTGCACCATTCAATTAAACGCGTGTATAGCTTCTCATACCTTTCTTAAGACTTCGTTGGTGATATTAACGCATCTGTATCAAATTCCTATAGCTAGAAGTTTTTGATCACATTGTGGCATTTCCACTGAATCGAAAATGACAGTAACGCTGTGTCTGTCACTTCGACAATTTCAAACTTATTTGAGGTTTGATTGGCATGACAAATTGACGTTTCCCGTCAGATCAATCCAAATCTATAGGGGGATTTTTATAATAATCCATTTCTATTTCTCAATTTTTCTTAATTTTTACAATAAATAGTGCAATTTGATGGATGATTCTAAACATACATACTTAATACTGCAACAAACAATCTTAAACTTTTATATTCCATCACCAACCACTTATATTACTAGCGATTATATCATATCATTGTTTTCCCGCACTAGTGCGGGAAAAAATTTCCCGCACTAGTGTGGGAAAATTTTCCCGTACTGTTGCGGGAAAATGACACTTCCCAAACTAAATTGCGTGCGGGTATAGGGTGAATCACGCACGCTTGTAGAAAAATTGATTATTATAAAAATCCCCCCATAGATTTGGATTGATCTGACGGGAAACGTCAATTTGTCATGCCAATCAAACCTCAAATAAGTTTGAAATTGTCGAAGTGACAGACACAGCGTTACTGTCATTTTCGATTCAGTGGAAATGCCACAATGTGATCAAAAACTTCTAGCTATAGGGATTTGATACAGATGCGTTATCACCAACGAAGTCTTAAGAAAGGTATGAGAAGCTCTACACGCGTTTTATTGAATGTTGCAACAATAAAGAAATGAAAAAACCGAATGAAGAATAGGTATTTTTGGCTCATTTCATAGAAGTGTCTGGAACCTAGAGACCAAACTGCTAATAGGCCTGCTGGCTTCCGCAATGAACCAACATAATGCCTCAAACTGTAAGTTCACAATAGCTATTACTAATAATTAATAAATAGAGAATATATATCTCTTGTTAGTTGTTCCTATTTGCTTGAATAATTAATTGAACGATTCAATCAATTTCCTATACGCTTGTAGAAAAAATATTGTTCCTAACTCATGCGGAAAGTTTCTTTCCCGCACTCGACTGCTTGCCCGAACTCCGCTTCGCGTCGTTCGTGTCAACGGCAGTCACGTGCGGGAAAGAATCGCTTTCCGCACTTGTTAGGAAAATTACTATTTCATAAGATGGAAATCTTTGTGTCTGAAGTAACTGGAATAATAAGAGAAAAATCTCACTTGTAATGAATCCTACTGCTGCTGCTTCATTCGAATTAACTCCTAATAGGACGGGCACTCGAGTAAAATTCCCTGATGACAGCCTCTTCTCGCTGTCACCTGTGAAAAATGCTCCAGGGTGCACTGTTTCTTCGACTGGTCCGAAGTATACCCCTGCTAGAGGATTCATTTCAGTTACCTGAAAAATAAATAAGAAATTGAGAACTACCATGTGGGTACAAAATTATGACAACCAAGTCTGAGAATAGAGAAAGCTGTTTGATTCAGTAACAATAAAACTATACTGACACAATACTTTTTTCCTCCGATTGGCAGCAAATATTAATTTTGCTGACACAAATCAATCAGCAAAGTATTACTTTTCCTGCCTAGGCAGCAAAGTGGGTACTTTGCTGCCTAGGCAGCAAAGTGGTTACTTTGCTGATTGATATGTATCAGCAAAATTAAAAATCCATAAATCGTTTATAATTTCCTTCATTTTTCATCCGAGACTTCTCCGGCAACAAATTCAACTCTATATTTTTTGCCACCTCCCTTATTAATGGAGGTGTGAGTATACTTCCAGGTCGCTATCACTTTTCATTATATAATAATTTGAATATACCGATATTTTTTCGCACAAATGTCAGAAATTTCATGAATTGTCAAACCAACAACTGCGATTTCTATCAAATTTTATTTTAATTGAACACTATACAGGAAGAATAAAGAGATTGTGGGAATTGTATTAATTCGCAAATACAATATTCTCCCATATAATTATAAACAATCGGAGAAAAAATTATATGTTCAACTCGGCAGCAAAGTAGATTGACTGCCTTAGCTGGATTCCTAGACTCGCTACGCTCGGCTATCAATTCAGCCACGGCAGTCAATCTACTATTTTGCTGCCTAGTTAAACAAATAACTATATCCTCGAAAATTTTCAATTTCGAAACTGAGGAAGGTGCGAAAGCTCGTATATATGGAGCGAAACCAAAGACATGGATCTCACTGAGTTGAGGTTCACATGCGATGTTTCAGGCAGAAATCATCGCAATACGTCACTGAGAGTTGATAAAGCTAGGCAAGAGTTCATAGAAAAAACCAATGCGATCTTCTAAAATTGGAGCAATCGACTCAATGGGAGTTGATTCAGATATTGTTCAGGACTGCTAAAGAATCCTAAATAACTGTGCAGCTAGAAGAGACTAACTGGAATCCAGCACATTCAAGGTACGAGGGCATCAAAGAGACAGATTAACTAGCCCAATCGGGAGCGTACAAAGCTCTGAATGGACAAGAACCTTCCTGCGGTATGACCAGAATTTCACAAAAAATGAGTTACTACAAACCATGGATGCAAACCAGATCTCAAAAATTATGGAACAAACCGCCAGGGCGAAGTTCATCAGAAATGCATCGCCAATATTCAGAGAATATCTAATGAGTCATAAAAAAAAATGCAACTAGAAAGTTGGTGAGACTTCTATTGGGCAATATGAGCACAAAAAACACATAAGTATACGATAGGTGTGGCTGAAGAACCGCAGGTACTGTCGGGGAAAAGGGAAATTACCAGATTACATGTTTTGCTACTGGGAGTATACCCTGAGAGAGAAAAAACCAAGAGCCAAAAGATACATAAGACATTTGGACGCTAGCTTATCAAGTCTCATAGGGAAGGCTGTGGGCTAGTCAGAGAACCCTAAAAATTTGTAATATTGCAAAACGAGTACGACATTACAATGTGTTCCGAAAATAAACCATCGTACCGAAAATCGCCTTTTAGAGAATTGCAAAACATCGAAGTTGAAACAATCAACGATGAATGGACACTGTTACGATTCTGGGATACAAAGTAGGTTCAAGTTATTGAATTGAATTGATAATTCAGTTATTTCACAACCTATTAGAAAAGTCCTCATCCTTGAGAATGATGTGTATATAGTGTCCTATAAAAATATATATATATATATATAAATATTCCCAGAAAGATCATGAAGACAAACAGGACATTCCGAACAAATAATTCAGATTTTTTGAATGATCTATCTGTCTCAAGAAGAACTACCGAACTGAAAGTACTTGTATCAGGAATTATAGAAATCTGAGTAAACAAAATCTGGATAAAATTAAAATAGAGCTAATGTCATGTCATTGGGATTTGAACTCAACAGATGGTAATGTTTTATATCGAATTTCGTTCAATATTTGTCAGCCAGTTATCAATAAGGTAGCACCAATTCAAATCTGTCATTATGAAAGTAATATTCCATGGTTTGACAACGGAATTCATAATGAAATTAAACACCGTGATTGTTGTGTCCTCACTCACTATTTTTTGTTATATGTATATGTCCTATTCTTATTTTATTTAGATAATCATCAGTTACAAGAAACTTACTTTATTGCATCTAATTTCATTCCAAATTCTCATTTACCGCGTGAAACAAGTTGAACTTGGCACCGAAAGTGGCGACCTCACGCAGCTCGTGATAGAAGCAAAAGGACATTCGAACGAGAATCTCCATAACGGTCGCATGTGCTTATCAATATATAGCTACACGCTACTTAGCTCTCGCCGCTTTCACCGCTTTTATAGCTATAGTGCTATAGTGCTCAACAACCCCGCCGCTCCTGCAAGCTGAGATCACTAGAAGAAGAAATCTTCGGGGTAAGTGCATGTTCAACTTGCGATCATAAAAGAAATTCATTTTATAAAATACCGCTAGACAATACATTTTGGTCCTTCGAGCCGGATGTAGAACAATAAAATAAAGTGAGTTTCTTGTGTTATATATACAGTCCATTCAGCAAACTATCAATTTGAAATATTTATATCATCCTTACATTCAGCATTTATATTAACATAATTATATCTTCGAAGGTGGCCTGTTTTCAAAAAAAACTTCTCGCTGCAAAATAAATTCAAGGTCACTCAATAGGTACAAAATCTCGAGAGTTTTTTTGTCCTTCTAATCCATTCCTAATATATTCGAATTTCTTTCCTTTTGAATAAATTAAGGAAATTCCAACCTTTGACTCACTCTTTCTTCAAGAACTCACATCAGTGCAGTACATCAAGAAATTTGTTCAAATATGGCTAATGCAAATAAAATCAAACAGTATAGAACTCTTCGTAAAATGTACGCTAACCAAATTGACGAACTAAAGGTTTTCGCAGATAATGCACAAGTTAATGAAAATGTTAGAGTTCAGTTTAAAATATTATTTCAACAGCTCTCCGATTGCCGCGAACAGTTTAAAACTAATCATCTCAACATTTTATCCCTAATCGCACTTACTGATGAAGATATTGCCGCTGATGAAGTTGTACGAACAACGTTCGATTATAACTGCTCATATATTGAGGCTATATACGAATCATTGTTTGACGAGCCTTCAGTTGTTACAAATCCAATGCCTATGAATGCACCGGCAGTTTCTTCTTCATCAAATAATAATAATGTGAAACTTCCAAAGGTCGAAATCCCAAAATTTTCAGGAGATATCAAAACATTTAAATCTTTTATATATATGTTCCAAAGTCTCATTCACAATAATTCCAATTTATCGAACATTGAGAAGTTTAATTATTTGATTTCTTCACTTAGAGGACCTCCTTTAACATTGGTACAAACTACGCCTATGTCTAGTACAAATTATGAAGTTGCATATCAAGCGTTGCTAGATCGCTATAATAACAGACGACTTATAGCCTTTGCGCATTTACAAGAAATTGATAATGTCCAAAGTGTAACACACTCAAAAAATACTCGTAGCCTAAGATTGTTATTAGACACTTTCACTGAGAATCTCGCCGCTCTCAGAAATATGGGACTTCCCATAGCAGAATGGGATTTCCTACTTTACTATTTATTCGCAAAGCATCTTGATCAGGAGACAATCACACGATTTGAATTAGAACATCCAATGAACAGTGATGCGCTCCCATCCTTTGAAGCACTAAAACATTTTGTGCAACAACGCTGTAACGCTTTTGATGCTATCGAATTTTCTATGAATAAAAATACTAGTAATATACAACCTGAATCAAGAGCTTCCTTTTATTCATCAAAACCAAAACAAACTACTACATACTTTGCCAATACACATAGGAAAATTACAAGTAAATGTGTATTTTGTAACCGCGATCATTCAATATACAAATGCGCCGAATATTTCAATAAAACTCCTCAAGAAAGATATAATTTCATGAAGGAGAATAATGTATGTATAAATTGCTTAAGTGCTCATCACACAACAAGTAAATGTAAGTCACAAATATTATGTCATTTTTGCAATGGAAGGCACCACTCAAGTGTTCACATTCATAAAGGTCACAAAGGACACAGCTCTAGTTCTACAACTATTACGGAGTCAACTGGTAATATTCAAGATATAGCCCCTCAGCCCAGCGCACCGCCTATGTCTGAGAATTCCACTTTCAGTGGTTTGGTATCCTCTTCATCTACTGTCTTACTATCAACAGCAATTGTTGAAGTTTTAGATTCACACAACATTTACCAGAAAGTTAGAATTTTGCTTGATTGTGGTTCACAAACAAGCTACATTTCTCAAAAGTGTTATAATCGACTAGGCTTAACTCGATCCCGATACAATGTATCTGTATCAATTCAAGGCTTAGGTACAATGAAAGACATGACTGCGAGAGGTGGAGTCACATGTCAAATAAAGCCTGTAGGAAAATGCTCGCCTATACTTCATGTAGACACTATTATTCTTCCGAAATTGTGCTCAGAAATGCCCACTTCTGTAATAAATTACGCAAAGTGGTCTCATATTAAAAATATTCAACTTTCGGATGACAAATTTCATACGCCCGCTCATGTCGATATGTTGATTGGGGCAGACATGTTTCCTTATATCATAGAAGAAGGACGCATAGTAGGTGATTCTAACGAACCAATTGCATTAAATACTATTTTTGGCTATGTACTTATGGGAAAAATAAATTCTATGCGATCACCAATAAATATTCACTCTTTTCTTTCTCTATCTGAAAACAACAACTTTTCAGTAGATGAACATATACAGCGCTTCTGGGAGATTGAAGAAATTCCTAATATTAAAACAATGTCACCTGAAGATGCCTTATGCGAGGAAATATTTTCAAATACGCATTCCAGAGATGAATGCGGCCGCTATGTAGTTCAGTTGCCATTCAAATTTGCT